AAATCATATTGAACGTCGATAGAGATGTAATCTGATCAAGTGGCTATCGATATCTGATTAATGTGATTTTTTAAGGGTATGAAGTGTTCGACGATCCATACATATTGAACGGTTCAGATTATCGATATAGGTTTCGCGATAGGCTTAAGAGCCCAATAATATGATCCAATTTGATTACGAACTAGACACAAGCTACCTCTAACTTTTATACAATAAAAGTTTATAATAAATTAAAAATTAACACATGATGGCCCTATTTGGCAAGTGGATTAAAATTTCCAAAAAAATATATATATATATTATAAGACAAAATGTTACTCAAATTTATAATCATTTCACTTTTTTTTTTACAAATATTACATCTAATTACAAAAAATTCAACTATCTTTTTAAATATAAAAATTTTAACCTATTAAAATAATTAAAAACTAAAATAACCTATTAAAATAACAAACTTCCTAAACGAGGCCAATAAATCATATTGTTAGGGGTCAAATTAGAAGAGATTTCTTAAAAGTCTTCCTTCTCTGCGGGTGTTTGGCAACCCCAAAAATAAGTCCCTCTTTTTTTTCTCCCAAAAAAAAAAAGACAAAAAGCTAAACGGTAATACTTGGTAGCTCGAGAAATGCGGCTCGAATATTGGCTCGAATCGACAAAACGACGTCGTTTTGTCGATTCGAGCCAATATTCGAGCCGCATTTCTCGACAATAATAAAATTACCTAAATTATTAATTAAAATATATTTCTAACATCATTAAAAACTGTTAATTAACTTAATAATTTATTAATAAAATGAATAATTTGTTATGAAATTAGAAACCTCAGAGGGGTGGAATGTAATTTTCAAAACTGGAGGGAGCGATTCGTATTTTAATCACATCTCAAAGAGTGTATTTGTAATTTACTCTAAATTCATTTATTATACTGAAAGAATAAGATAATTGAATTTTGGGTAATGCTTGTCTCCGGTCCAATTTCGGATTGAGTTGTATTGTTGGGCCTCCATGGGCCTACCATGAAACCCACATCGATAATCCAAACCGACTCATAGAGTACTTCATTCCTGTAAAAAATCACTTTGATCGGATATCGATTGCTACTTGATCTGATCACATTTATATTAATAGCTTTTTGTTAAATCATATTGAACGTCGATAGATGTAATATGATCAAGTGGCTATCGATATCTGATTAATGTGATTTTTTACAGGGATGAAGTGTTCAACGATCCATACATATTGAACGGTTCAGATTATCGATATAGGTTTCGCGATAGGCTTAAGAGCCTAATAATATGATCCAATCCGATTACGAACTAGACACAAGCTACCTCTAACTTTTATACAATAAAAGTTTATAATAAATCAAAAATTAACACATGATGGCCCTATTTGGCAAGGGGATTAAAATTCCCAAAAAAAAAAATTATAAGACAAAATGTCACTCAAATCTATAATCATTTCACTTTTTTTTTTTTTTACAAATATTACATCTAATTACAAAAAATTCAACCATCTTTTTAAATATAAAAATTTTAATCTATTAAAATAATTAAAAATTAAAATAACCTATTAAAATAACAAACTTCCTAAATGAGGCCAATAAATCATATTGTTAGGGGTCAAATTAGAAGAGATTTCCTAAAAGTCTTCCTTCTCTGCGGGTGTTTGGCCACCCCAAAAATAAGGAATTGGGATCCTCCACTTGAGCCCCCTCCTTCATTTCCTCCTTGCAAGGGCCTTCGGGTCCACTTTGAGGCCCAGTTTTGATAATTCGAACCGTTCATATTTTTAGATTTATTCAGTATATTATACCTGTAAAAAATCAAGTTGATCGAATATCATAACTATGTGTTCGGAAAACTGTTTATTAAAAAATAGTTTGTAGTCCCAATTTTCTGAACGCATACTTTCTGATATCCGATCAACTTGATTTTTTACAGGTATAATATACTGAATAGATCTAAAAATATAAACGGTTCGGATTATCAAAATTGGGCCTCAAAGTGGACCCGAAGACCCCTGCAAGGAGGGAATGAAGGAGGGGCTCAAGGAGGGAATCTGGACTCAAAAATAAGTCCCTCTTTTTTTTCTCCAAAAAAAAAAGACAAAAAGCTAAAAGCCAGTAATTATGCTCCACAAAAGTGTTTGAGAAATGAGCCATTTGCTTTGAGTGACAAAATGTCGACTTTAACCTCCTATGTAACATGCCCTGGCCAACACGTTTCAAAAAGACAAAGGTAAAATGAAAAAAAGTCTTTTCCACCAACGGATGTAAATCATATTTTATTATTTTTAAAAATATATTTAAAAAAAAATTAACAAATAAGCAAACTCAAACACTTCAACCAAAAAAGTGAAAAAAACACCAAACACCAAACCCCAAGCAAGGACTCACTATTGCCGCACTACTCTGAAGTCTTCTAGATGAAAATTGAAGAGCTGTCATCTCTATTTCACTTGAGGGGTTCAACATTAACTACATACAGCAGCAATACAGCTAATATCTCCAAATGTAGGCAGGCATGTGACCAATTTCTGATCAAAAGGCACTCCTCATTATTTATGATTTTAAGAGGCTGTTTGCTATGATTTAAATAAATATATTTTTTAATTTAAAAAAAAATATAAAAATAATATAATTAAATAAAAATAATCTAATTTAAAAAAAATTAAAAAATATACTTTTTAAAATCATGTCAAATAGTCCCTTAATTATGACTGCAGGGCAAGGTGGTTAGGGTGTCACCTTTCAGCCATGAGTGTGTATTAAATTGCTTGGGTTCAAACCATTCCAGTTATGGTGTGTTTGGTTGAGAGATTTAGAGAGAGATTTGGAAAAGGAAAGGAAAAAAATGTGTGAAATTAAGTGAAATATAAGCATGTTTATTCACATTTCACCTACCTTTTTCATTTTATTTTCTAAATCCCTCTTCAAATTCTCCAACCAAACACAACATTAATTTCTCACCGTCATGAATCATTCTTATGTACTGCTATGCCATTGCTGAAACCATAGTGGCCAATGCAAACTTAACCTAGCCAGTCATGTTTTCTAAAGTGGTATAAGATTTGTGAAGAGAATAAGAAAAGACAAGAAAATCTTCCAACTAAACACAACATTAGTTTCTCCCTGTCATGAATCATCTTATGTACTGCTATGCCATTGCTGAAACCACAGTGGCCAATGCAAACTTAACCTAGCCAGTCACGTTTTCTAAAGTGGTGTAAGATTTGTGAAGAGAATAAGAAAAGACAAGAAAAGGGGAGTAAAATTTTGTGCTTTTTTTTCTTTACAAATTTAAAATTTAAAAATAATTTTAAGAGAAACCGATTTAGCATTAAGTTGGGATATTGACCAAACTACACTTTTATATCTTCTCACACTAGTATCAATATAAACACTTTAATTGTTCCCAAGTCCAAGATATTTATAGGTTTTGCCCCACATTTATGAATTCAATTGAACAGTCTGCATCTTAGATTGACTTCAATTGAAAATAAGGGCATGGAGAGGATATTAGTCCCAATTGAAAATTTTTGCATGCTTGTGGGAATTAATTTTAGACCTCAAAATGGGTTTGGGAATAATATTACATAACAAATTAAAATAACAATAATAATAAAGCTATTCAAGTATAACCATGATAAAGAAATGGCACTTTCATTGTTATTTAAAATTCAAAAATAGTTTAAGGAATATTTTAAAACTCAAACTGGTGTCTCAATTATATTAATTTTGAATTATGTGTTGCAAACTTGTGCATTTGAAAATGAGATTTCCATTTTAATCATGTAATGAAACTGTTAGCAAGTATTTTAATATTATATTGTGATATTAGTTTCCATCAGGTCTTCCTAGTCTTCCAAGACTTTTCCATCCAAGTCTTGGTCTTGTCCTTCCATTCTTTCCATCCAAGCCTTCCAAGCTAAGGCTTTGCCAAAGTCTTCCAAGAGTCCACCAAGTCTTTATCCTTCCAAGACTTCCAAGTCTAAGTCTTCCAAGTCAAGTCTATGTCTTCCAAGTCTTTCAAGTCGTCTTCACCAAGTCTTGGTCTTATCTCCAGTAACTTATCCACCAGAACCTTTTTTGATTTCTATATATATATTAACTTATGTCCTATCTTTGAGAATATATAAGAGAGAAGAAGTTTTGGTTGTGTTGTCATATCTTGAGTGAGATTATCAGGAATATATAAGAGAGAAGAAGTTTTGGTTGTGTTGTCATGTCTTGAGTGAGATTATCAGGTAAATAAAAAAGGGTGTGTGTGATAAAACTTTGGATTCAACCAATTGTGCAGTATTGGTGAACCATACGACTGTTGTATCCTGGAGGGGACAAGTCAAGGTTTTTCTGCTGCACCGGTGTGAGACATTGCCTAACCGCAGAGGGCTTGAATCTCCTTAAAGAGAGCGAGTTTCCCGCGCCTCAGCCCTTATAGTAGTCATTGTAACTTTTATTACTTGTATTTTCTGGTGTGTTATTTGTAATTATCACCAACAGAAACATTTCCATTTCATTTAATTTTTACTCTTTTTTTTTATATATTTTAAATCAGATCCTCCTAAAAATTCTCTACTTATCCCAAACTTTCATCATATCTTTCTCTTTTACCATTTTTTTATCAGATTTTGAGTAAAACTTTGACTGTTGGAAATTTGATGAAGGAATTGGTTTCTCTTAATTTGATACAATTTTGATACTTAAAAATATTAGAGCTCATTCTTAGCCTTTTTCACACCATTAGAATTTATTTGATGGAGAATTGGAGATACTCTTAAATATTTTATTTCTTCAAACAGTTCTCTTCTTAATGTTGACATTCATTCAAACTTAGTTCTTATGAATATTACTAAGAGAGTGAAAATAAAAAATAAAAAATCAATGTGTCTTTTAAACAACTAAAAAACTATGAACCTCAATTAATGAGGGTTGATCTATAACTTGACTGTATATCAAATCACCAACAAAAAAAAAATAGACAAGTTGAGACAGAGAGAGAGAAAGCTCAATGTATTCCTACCAGTCAAATATTACATATCTTCATCCCTAACTCCAACTTTTATACTTCATTTTTTTTTGAAAAAAATGAACAAAACTACATAGATCAGTCATCATCATCAGAGTTTCAACTAGAAGAAACAAAAATATCAGAACTACCACACAAAACAGAGCTTACTCAAAGAAACCAAAATCACATTTTTCATTGGTAAGATCGAAGAATGGCTCCACAGAAAGTGCAGATGACAGCTTTCCAAGACTTGGAATAGAAGGGTACGTGGCAGAACCTCGTGGCGGTCTTCATATCGGCCACGCTGGCCCCGCCGCCACACCTCGAACATAACCCGGCGGCCGGCTTGCTCCGCCTCACCTTCCTCGTCTGATCGACCAAGAAACAGAAGCAAACCATCTTCGATTAGTCTAGTTTTTAATGTTTTTTGGGACTCTGTTTTTGGGTTTTGAGGAGACTGTTTTTTCAGTTTTTTGAGGACTCTGTTTTTTGAGGAGTGGTAGTTCGGGGATATTTTTATACTATTTATCTATACTATATATATATTAAGTAGTTGGGAAATTTTAACCCCAAGTTCTATGGGAGTTTCAATCTCTTAATCTTAATTTTTTAATTTTTTGATTTAAAAAAAAAACCTCAGCATTTATTGACTTCTCCCAACTCAACCCGACCTCAGCATTTATTGATTTCTCCCAACCCACAATCACTTTTGACTTCTCTCATAATTATTGCAGCACCCTTTTCAATTTCTCCCATACACTATGGTTACACACAAAAATAAAAAATAAAAATATAAGAATTTAGCTATAGATCTCAAAAAGATATAACATTTAAATTTGAATTATGATTTAATAATATAATTATACTAAAAAATTAAAAAAAATCTTTAAAGTTTATCTAAATAAACTTTAAATTAATAAAACTCAAATGTCTATCACATATCTAACTCACATCATAACTTACTGATTTATTTATTTAATAATAAAAATATTTCATAATCTCTCCCTCCTAATCTCTCTTACAAATTTTCAAAAAAAAAATATTAAAACTTGCATTCATTTTCTCTTCCCCAAAAAATCAAATAATATTTTCTATTAAAATTGTAAATATCTACCTATATTTTATATATTATATTATAACATAACAAAAAAAACTAAAAAATTAAAAAAAATCTTTAAAGTTTATCTAAATAAACTTTAAATTAATAAAACTCAAATGTCTATCACATATCTAACTCACATCATAACTTACTGATTTATTTATTTAATAATAAAAATATTTCATAATCTCTCCCTCCTAATCTCTCTTACAAATTTTCAAAAAAAAAATATTAAAACTTGCATTCATTTTCTCTTCTCCAAAAAATTAGATAATATTTTCTATTAAACTTGTAGATATCTACCTATATTTTATATATTATATTATAACATAACAAAAAAAACTAAAAAACTTATTTATCTAAATAAACTTTAAATCAATAAGACTCACATGTCTATCACATATCTAACTCACATCATAACTTACCTAAATAATAATAATTAAAAACAAATGGAAACCACAGATAAATTAAATTTAAAAAAAAAATACCCGAATAGAAACCACAAAAAAATAAAAATAAAAATAAAAAGATATATCTATCTATCTATATATATATCTTCTATACTATATATTAAGCAAAAGGGGGTTTTTAACCCCAAGGCTTGTGGGAGCTCCAATCTCCTAATCCTAATTTTCTAATATCTAGTAGGATTACTTAACGTGAAGCAAAAAGGGTAATATGAAAGCAAAATATAAAAAAAAAAAAAATGAAATAAAATAAAATAGAATAAAAAAAAAAAATTTAAAAATTAAGGGAAATAGAAAGGGACAGATGGCCTTCCTCCCTTGACTGTTTTCAAAATCCTCGCGAGGGTGGACTTTGACCATTACTTTTCCAACCTCTTCTTGGCTGGCTGATTGCCCCTCTCTCTCTCTCTCTCTCTCTCTCTCTCTCTCTCTCTCTCTCTCTCTCTTACTTTTCAATGTCCTATTTTTTCTCCAAAATAATATGGCAAATATTGAAGTATGCAATATATCTATACTATATATTAAGTAAAATAATGATTTTTAATCTCAAGACCTGTACGAGTTTCAATATCTCAATTTAAATTTTCTAAATTTCTTATTAAAAAAAAAACTCAACATTTATTGATTTGGTCAAAATCTCCTGATCAGCATTTATTAATTTTTTTTCAATCCATATATCTTTCTACATACCTGCATTTATTGATTTGGTCAAAATCTCATGGTCAGCATTTAAAATCTCCTCGTACAAATAATTATAGATACAATCCGTGTATAGTTACTGCAATACTCTTTTTAACTTCTCTCATACACTATGGTTAGTGATAAGATTATTAAATTATTTTTATAAAAAATCTTAAAAAAATTTTAAAAAATATAATTTATATCTGAAACAAATATAAATATTTATAATTATTATGTGAATAGTACGAGGGATAGACTAGTACGGTTATATATAAGACGCGGGAGGTAGTTAATGTTGGGGATGGGATTAGGTGGGACTGGTACCGTTGGATGGAATAAGCTGTTCGATGCACATTTGTTCTTTCAATAATGATTCATCCCACTAAAAACATCACCACTAATAGCACTAATGCATTAAAAAAGTAAAAATAAAAATAAAAAATACAACTTCAAGACCAAAACATCACATCATTAATGACGGGACCCACTGCCACCTAATTAGTGGGAGCACTAATTAGTGCTCCCAAGCATTTTTCTTGTTCTTTTTTGTTTTTAAACAATGTGGATTTGACACCTGGTTAATGTATTTATTTGGGGTTGCGATGCTGTTGATCAGATTTTAACCTTAACATTTATTAACTTCTCTCAATCACAAGACTTTTTTATAATTATTGCAGTACCTTTTTCAAAACAAATAATTTGTATATTAAAAAAAATTTAAAACAAATATAAATATCTATATCTATATCTATCTCTTTATTTATATCTATCTCTAATCCACAAGTTTTGTAAGAGTTTCAATATATCAATATAAATTTTTTGATTTTTTGATTTAAAAAAAAAAAACTTAGCATTTATTAATTTCTCACAACCCCTAAGCCTTATCCTTATAATAACACTTTAATGTATTAAGAATAAGTATAGAAAAAAATTTATTAAAAAATCTAACACATGTGAATTCCTTGAAAAGCCCTAACACATATGATTATTATCTCTCATAACAACACTTTAATGCTTTAAGAACAAGCATAAAAAAAAGTTTATTGAAAAGTACAACGCATATGATTATTATCAAAATATTAAACTTTAATATAATATAAAAAAACAAAACATTTAATTCATTGAAAAGTCCAACACATATGATTATTATCAAAATATTAAACTTTAATATAATATAAAAAAACAAAACATTTAATTCATTGAAAAGTCCAACACATATGATTATTATCAAAATATTAAACTTTAATATAATATAAAAAAACAAAACATTTAATTCATTGAAAAGTCCAACACATATGATTATTATCAAAATATTAAACTTTAATATAATATAAAAAAACAAAACATTTAATTCATTGAAAAGTCCAACACATATGATTATTATCAAAATATTAAACTTTAATATAATATAAAAAAACAAAACATTTAATTCATTGAAAAGTCCAACACATATGATTATTATCAAAATATTAAACTTTAATATAATATAAAAAAACAAAATGACAAATAATAACGAATTTGCCTTGGCGGTGCGGTTCGGTGCGGTTTTGGCGGTTTCAGCGGTTTCGGCGGTATTATGCACACCCCTACCGGCTACTACTTTTATATATAGGACGCGGGAGGTAGTTAATGTTGGGGATGGGATTAGGTGGGACTGGTACCGTTGTATGGAATAAGCTGTTCGATGCACATTTGTTCTTTTTTTTTTTAACCAATGTGAATTTGACACCTGGTTAATGTGTTAATTTGGGGTTGCGATGCTGGTGCTGAGATCTTGGCCTTCCACGTGGACGGACAAGTGGGCTTATTGCATCACTTTTTCTTGGCATGGTTCCTCTCTCCTCATGTAATCTGAATGTGCTTGTGTAAAAAAATAAATAAATATTTGAAAAAAAAAAAATAATAAAATTATGTATTTTAAATTAATTTTTTTAATTTTTTTTCCCACTAGTTAAGTACTTTTAATTTATGTTAAAAAAAATTAAATTGACATAAACATATATTATTTTTATTTTTCATACTGGACAAACAATTTATGATGGAAGTAGTACTATGTAGCAAACAATAAAAAGTTACTAAAATTTTGAATTTTTTTATTAAAAAATGAAATAGATAAAACTTTTTATTATTTTATTTTTGAAAAACAAAAATGAATAGAATGAAAATAAAATTAAACACGATGTAATTTTGAATAAATTACAACTATTTAATCGATTTAATTTTTTAAATGAATGACATATAATAAGTGCCAGACAAAATAAATAGTTTAAATTATCGAAATAGGATCAGTGGTGACAACAGCCTCCAATTCCGATCAATGTACAAAAGCATACATTTTGTTAAGAGACAAAATTTATTTCGACTCCATGTCTTTTATTGCATTTGCAATTTACCTTTGACGTGGCTAAGCCCATAGAGGCCATAGCCCACTATAAACAACCCAAGCCCATCACTTGGAGCCCAGTACATAACCTAGCTGGTGGAGTCCAGAACAACTGGAATCCAGCATGGCACAAAGAGCTAATGACATTTAGACATATGGCAGGCAAAGGACAAGCCACATCGGCAGACAAAGACCTGCAAAGTTATTGCTACTACACATCACCATTAATGCAGCCCATCACAGCATAGACTTTCGGCGAGGGGGGCAGATCGAAAGGGACAGCGAAATGATTACCAAAGGATATAAGCAAATATTGAAGACAAGAAGAAGGTTAAGCTTTTCTATCTCTAATCTCTCCTCTATACTCTACTTCTCTTCCTAACTTGCTCGTCGGAGGGTTCACTGGGGAACTACCACGTTCCCCGTTAAACTTGTTTGCAGGTTATCCGGTGACCTTGATCATTTGGACCTGGGCTTGAGGAGCTTGGACCAGTCCGATCCATTCACTGGGACAAATAGTATTATCAGTTGGCGCCGTCTGTGGGAAGTGGTTCTCATCCGAACGCCAGTTGTGCTCATTGTCGCCGGAGACCCTGTCCTAACAACCTTTTCCTCCTACCCATCCAAGTGTATGGTCATGACTAGATCCATGGCTTCTCACCATAATGCTGCCGACCAGCAAACTGACCCTTCCAATCCAAACAACCCACCACAGTATATCATTGAGCTTACCAACAGCATTAACCGCATGGCTGAACAAAACCAGGCCCTGATAAATGCTCTACTCTAAAGAAACCTTCCCATGCCTCCCCCACCACCTCCAGACATCCCACTCAACCAAGAAAGAGCCCCGAGCCATACTGTTCTGCA